ATTATTAAGAAGATCAAAACATCAACTGACAACACTAACTGGCTTCACGGGATTGCAGCACAGTCATAAACATCTGTGTTTAAGAATTAGAAATAAAAACATAATCTCAGACTAAGGTCACCAAATCGAAGCGATGTCTCGATCAACATGAGAAATGTATATTATACTAAGCTTTAGTTTAATTTGCAAGAGTTTTCAGCAATAAAAGTCTCACAGCACCATCCTCCTCCCCATCGTAAGCGCTCCAAGCGTCACACAGAAACTCCTGATGGGGACAGCGTGCAAAATTTAGAAGACTCCTACTTATCAAAGCCACACACAGGTGCAGATCCAAAGTGCCATCCCATCTGAGCTGAATTATACAACTGGTTTTATTTATTTATTTATTTACTTTATTTAAACACTGACTTAATACTAACAATTACCATGGAAACACATAAGGGAACTATCTTTGATAAATAATGCACATCATTCAGACCGCCTCCATACATCAGAAGGATATGAGGTATTAATGATAATACAGAGTAAATGTTTACAACACTTTAACAATAGAGATTCCCTAATTTCCTTCGGGATTAATAAAGTATTCTGATTCTGATACCTGTGACAGCCACCGTCCATCTCCTTGAACATCTTCTACTGGCTGAGGGACTGCTGCTGGGTTCACGTCATCCCCACTCATCCTGAAAGAAATCCTAGCGCTTATTTACACATGCAATAAACATGGTGCGACCTACAGGAGGGGGAAGGACGTCATGCTGATGCAAGGCACAGAGGAAAGCATCTGCACCACCTAGCAGAGAGCAGCGGGGTGATGCTTAGCGTTTCGGGAGCAGGCAGACTGGCCTAATGCGGATTGCAGGCCACTCTCGCTCTCAGTGCGGGTGTTTAGAGATCACAGAGCAGATCGCATTAACTCCGCTAGGCTACTGTTTATCTGACGTTAGCTTGTTAGCTGCTTGCTAATGACTGGAGACTGTTGTGGCTGCATCTCTGATACACGTCTGTCGTGCTCGTCGTTAATTAAAAAATAAACAAAATAAAAACATTTTTAAAAAATGAAATTACTTATTTATTTACAAGACAAACTACCTGGCAGGGTGTCACTTGTCGGCTCTCCTGGGTGACCCTTAACTTTTTATTCCCCGGCCTCGCTGCACCGCTGTCAGGGAGTCGACGCGTATGATGCTCGCTAGCAAGTGTTAGCAGCCTCGAGCTAGATGAGACAACAAAAGGTGTGTCAGAGGGAAAGCACAGAGATCGTTCCAGTGGCAAGAGTGCCCGCTCGACACCACCAGCCGTAACACCGATGGAAGGAAGAGTGGATTCTTCCGAGTTCAAAGTCTTATCAGTGCTATCATGCACCTGACCTAAACCCGGGCACAGCTACCTTCTGTAATCTGTGGAGGTCGCTGACACCAAAACACAGCACCGAGGGGAGGTTTTTCCTCAGGAGTAACCGCAGGGAAAAAACACACCACAGCAACAGCTGATCCCGCGAGGAATCATGGGTAGGTGGTCGCGTGTTTGAACAACTTCGCATTTTTTTTACAATGAAATTATATCTAATTTTTTGATGGTGATAGTTAGTGTAAGACCAGACATGAAGACATGCTCCTATTTCTGAGTATGTCGTGCAGTTTAGTTTTCGGAGTGCGACGGTGATCTCTCGTTGATCCCAGCCCGGCGTCAGCTGACCGCAATGCATCACGGCCACGTTAGAGCAAATGCTGCATTCTAGTACTGTGGAAAACACAGGAAATAAAACATTCCTGCTCTCTGGCCGTAGGTCTACATTTGGCGGAAATATGCTTTACATCAATAATGTCAAACCACCACTAGCCCACCAGTGGCCACCACCACATACACCCCGCTTTGATCTTAAGTGGAACAAACAGTGAAATCCCCCCTTTCTGTCAGAGTAAGTACTTTTACCAACACTCTGAATACCTAAAGTATCTTAATATATCAAAAAGAAGTGCAATTTCAATAGTATGTTGCAGTTTTTCTAGATAATAGAGAAATCCTGCTGTAGTAAATAAAAGACATCTGTCAGCAAGACCTTCGGGGCTTAAATGTTAGCAAAAACAAATTTGTAAAATTACTTTAAAAAAACAAACAAACTGGGGGCTGTCGTGTAACTATAAAACAGAAAGTTTTAAAACAAACAAACAAACAAACAAAAAAATACCCCCAGAAATTTCTATATTAGCTAATGAAAAAACAAGAACTATAATAAAAAACAGTTAATCTTTATCTACCTTTCACATTTTCCAGAAAAACAAAACGAGGAATAAAAAATAAAAGACAAGATTAAGACTGTGCAAAAGAGAATTCTACCACAAATGAGTACAAAACATTTTAATAAATGTCATTAATGAATCTAAGAAACAGCCGCAAGAATGTTTGATACAGAAATATCTGTGTAATCCTATGTTCTGGCAGGTGTTTTCACCTGTCACTAAAAAGGAGAGCTGTACAGTTGTTTAGACTAGGAGTGATTTCCTGAAGTGTTCAGCGAGGCTGAATGACTCTGAGGAAGAATGGGCTCTGCAGTCTCTTTAGTGTGTGGCTAATGGAGCGGGAGCAATGGTTGTGAATGATGATCAGTTTGTTCAGTGACTTCCTGTCCCTCACTGACTCAAACACCTCCAGTTTCCGACTAAACAAACCGAGCCTCAGTCATTGTTAATGCAGATTTTCTTTTTTCAGTGTTAGCATTTTTTTATGACTCCTGAAGAACCTGTGGCTTTTTCAGTAACAGAAATGAGCTTTATAATAGCCTTTCTTTGTTCCTGGGAAACTTCGAGGTTGCTTTTGCTTGGCTCACTTTTACATTTTACAAACTGGCAGATAAGACATGCTAAAAATATATCCTGGGATATTTATTTAAACACAAATTGTCTTTACTTTGATTTCACATATGGCATGATTCACCATCACTAAAACCTCTTTAAATTCTTTTAGTTCTTCCTTTATTTTCTCCTGTTTCTATTATGTTTCTATAATGCCTTTTCCCTCTTAATCCTTACATTGCCCAGCCAAGTCCCAGCGGTGTTTGTTAACCAACTGAAACAGTCCACTGCTTTACTGCGTGTGTAGACGTGCCCTGAAAGCTCAATGAAAGGTTTGAAAGAAGTGTCGCTACTCTTAGGAAAAAATAACTCATACCAAAATGAACCACCAGATGGAGCCCCTACACATCTCTGCTTAAGTTTTCAGTAGATCAAACCAAGCCACCCATACCAGCTAAAATACCCCGCACAGTACAACTGAGCCATGCCAGATCTCCAGGATTCATGTTTTCCATTTAATTTATCACTCATATTGTCAGATGCTATTTTTTATACAATACGTTTACCCCCTAAAACATACCTGGAAGACCTCTGAAAGTAAATAAACCATTATGAATTTTCCTCAATGTCAGAACTTTTTAAATTAATGGTTTGGCAATTTTTTAAATCGAGAATAACTAAACATCAATTAAACTCAAATTAACAGTATCATTGGATTAGCTTTGTAAGTATTTGTTTGTTTGTGAAGACAAATCCTAAAGGATATCAAATTTATCAGTAAACAGATAAAGCCTTAAAATGAGATTTTTACAAACACTGGCATCCTCTTTACAGATTTACTGGTATCCCAGACCATAATTTGTAAAGCTATAGTGAATATCTTACTTAGATTTGGTGTGTAGACCACAGGTCCACTACGGAGGAAGACAGACTCAGTTGTAATGACATTAGTTGCCTGGTCAGACCTAATTGGAGAGCTTCTGATTCTGCTGTACATTGCATTATATTATAAAGGTATATATTCATCTAAGCATGTATCAGCATAACTACATTTTTAAGACAAGCGTATGACATAGACTGTATGTAAAAGCTGGATGTAGCTACTGTTTATGTTGTCTAGAGAAGTTGGGAAAGTATGATGATAGCCTGTGTAATATAATATCTCTCAGTATTCATTTTGACAGCAAATCTTGGTATTATGGTGTAAAAATGTAAATGTGTCTATCTAACCTTAATTGCACAAAGAGGTAACTTCTGATTGCACCACTTCCAAACTTTTAACCATTTTCTTTGGATTTCAGTGAGTTCAGATTGGACCCTGCCTCTTGCCCTATTATAGGACAAGAGCGCCTCCACGCAAAGTGCTGTAATGCTGGTAACTCTTCTTTTCCAACTCTGGGATAGTTTTTGACTGACTGGAGGAAGCAGTTTGCCTTCAGGGCGTTTTTTGTTGTCTTATTTACTGTTTTCTATAGCGGGTTGGTAAGTTTTAGGTGTCTGACGCATATAGCTGTGTAAATAACTGAATGTGCTCTTAGAAAAAGGTGCAGCCTGGAGGTCTGGAGTAAGAAGAAGGTAGGGTTCAAATGTGTCAAGTTTCGACTCAGC